ATGTTACCATCACACTATAAGTATAATTGAAATTGAACTCACCCTGTTTACTCAGATTAAAAATCAGCATTTTAGTTAACAAATTTAAAATAAAAATGAGTAAGTATACCTAAAGAAAACATTTTGCCAATGCCTCATTCTGACACTTTGCATCTCTGAGGACCCATTTCAATTATTTAAAAAAAATTCTCACAGATGTATTACAGGACTGAGGAACATCAGAAGATAAATGGAACTATAGACCATTTCCAGCAAGTACAGATTTCAGCTGTTACATACTCAGCAGCTGGCCAGGTGTGGTGGCTCACGCCTGTAATCCCATCACTTTGGGAGGCCTTGGCGGGCGGATCACCTGAGGTCAGAAGTACATACTCAGCAGGTTTGAGAGGGCCCCATCTTTACAGAACATTAGTTTTCCATAATTCACCAACCTAAACAGATTTCTGAAAACAGCTATTCCATGAAGAGATATATTGCTTTGGTTGAAAGAGCGATAACTAACACTTTCAGCCACAGTTCCTAACTGTATATTCAATAGTTGCTCTTATGCCGTTTTAATCATATGTACAGGTACAATCACAATGTTGAGAATTATAGTTACTCTGTAAAATGTTTTTAAAATAAAATTACTGAGTTATTATATCAGATGTTTTTCTAAGAATTTTTTTCTTATGACATAATTCTTATGACTATTATCTTAATTTTACAGATGAGAAAATTAAGGCAAAAAAGGTCACTTTAATAACCCAAGATCACAGAAAATTAAGTAAATTTGTCAAGATCAGAGCTAAAATTTGAACTCTAGAATCCACTACTTTAACTACTAGAATAAACTATACTATACTCTAAATGTTTTATTTACTGCAACAGGAACCAATTTGTTTAATTATATTTGTTCTAGGACAATAATTAAACTAAAATGAAAATACTAAACTAAGGAGAAGCATACCTTAACTGAATATTTTATGTATAAAAAATTAAGGCCACTCATCACTGATTCAACTAATATTTATTTAGCGTGTGTGCTGGGACTGTGATTATAGTTCTGAATGAGACAAACGTGAGACAGGCTCTCAAGGGAACTCAAATTGTAGAACAGGGAGCAATAAAAAAGAAGCAAGATGTAATTATTTAACTTCAGTGCTATGAAGAAAACAAAACAGTTATTATTATGACAGACAAGTCCAGAGTGGAACAGATGATTCAAATTGTGTGACAGCAAGGTCTTAGGGAAGGTGGCATTTGACTTCAGAACTTGTTTGTAAAAAGGAGCCAGAAGGTCTAATCTGGTGAAAGAAAAAGTATTTTGGGCAGAGAGAACTGAAAACACAGAGGAACCAGAAGTGGGAACTGCTGAGGGACAACAGACACTGGATAATTCTGTGCTAAACTCAGTCACAGAATTATTTTCAGGAGACTATTTTATTCATAATGACACATGGCCTAGCTTCTTGTCTTAATGCCATGGAGCCACTCCTAAAAGCCTAAGTGGAAAATTGCCACCTTATGGTTCCACATTAATTAAAATTTAGGACTTGTAGGGCAATATCCAATCACCTGGCCAACCTCTTCTTGAAAACCAGTTGAGTGACCTCTGAATTACAAATGAAGGTTCTTTAAAAATTACAATGTATTTTTTGAAAACAACTCATTATCAAGTAAATAGTTAAAAAATATCTCTATATTTTCTGAACATAAAAACAGGCTAGCAAAAATAAGTTTATGTGTCTTTTTAACTCTGCTCCACATTTTTCTTTTTCTCATTTATCAATTTGTAATACACTATGTAATTAACATGTTTATAATATTTATAGTTTATGAATCAATTCATTGTAAAATATAAGCTTTACAAGTACTGAGGGCATGGTCTGGTTTTTTTCCATAACGTAGAACACTGAACAATGTTTAGTTCATACTAGATAGGAAGTAGTGAATGAACGAATAAATGAATAAATACATAATTGTGTTCAATAACTAAAATTTTTAAATAAAAATATTTTGTTTGGCCATTGGCCAGAGCAGCCTATGATTGGACCAAGTCATCTCAATTTATTTTCAGCTTATCTATGTATAATTTGAATCAAGATCTAACTTTAAACACTAAAAAGTCATACTATGTAAATATTTTGTTAATAATTTTTAGCATTAAAAGAGATACTTCTACTTTCCATGAATCTATAAAAGCTGTATAGTCAAATGGGTATGTTTTATGTTTTTATTATCACATTTCCTCTTTGGGACTAGAACATGCTGGTGGGAATTCAGTCTTCAAAAAGCAAGTTTAATAGGACTGAATGCAGCAAAAGCTTAAATTGTCTTCCCTTAGTGTTTGAATTTATAACCACATGCATATAATTTCATACACAACACCCAAGGGGTTCTTCTATTGAGGGAGATAAACATTTTCACAGAAACTCTAAACTGTTTATATGTGGAAACCTTGGTTTATATAGTTAATATACAGTTTTATGTAACTGTTCATATAAACTGTCCAGCTCTTGACTTCAGAATCATTCACTAGAAAAGAAATATTTATTATAGAATCACAGAAGTAACTACTAATGTGTGAAATTAAAAATATATTCACTTAAAAATTATAGAATTTCTAAGTAAGGAGGAATTACTAAAGTGAAAGATACTAAGCCCCCAAATTATAGAATGAGGTTAGAAATACAGAGTAACACCTTAAATTTATTTTATGCATTTTGGTATTTTTTTCTTTTCATATTTTCTATTTACTTTTTAAAAATAAATTTTCATGAAGAAATTTACACAACACTGAAAAATATAGAGAATAAATGAACCTTAGCTCAAGACAAGATCTAGAGATAAACATCATCATTTTCAAGGGCATCTTCAGTGGCTCATGCAATTTTGAAAACAAGAAAAAGTCTTCAAAAGTGTTAGTCTATTTTAGTGAGGTTTTAAAAAGTAATAATTCTTTAAAATCTATATATTATTATTGCTGACCTTATTTTAAGTGCAGAGTATTAAAATAAAATAATGTTTTAATCTTGCATAATAAAAACTCAAGCATTCTTACAACAAAAGAAAAAAAAAATCCAATCAGTAGTCACCTGATTAACAGAAGTGTATCTGAATCTCACTTAAAAAAATAACACAAAGTAACTATTACATCAACTGAGGCCAAACCTAAAATAATCAAAATAATTTGAGGAAGGGAAAGGCCATGCATTGACATTTAATCTGACCTATATGTACCAAGTAGAGATTTTACATATGATTGCCTTGATCCTTCCATACTTGTCTTCCCTACCCTCATTCATCCTCAAACAATACTTAAAGGAAAATATATAATTTTATTGAAGAAACTCACATTCAGAAATGGTAAACAAATTTCCACAGCTAGTGAGTGACAAATATGAAATTAAGACACACTATTGACTTTAAATTCTACTGCCATCCTTCACTGGGAATTGTGAAGAGGAAGGACAGCACCCAGACAGAGTCGTAAGAGACCTTTGATTAAATATTTGAACAACTGGCCAGGCACAGTGGCTCATACTTGGAATCTCAGCCTTTTGGGAGGCTGAGACGGGCAGATCACTTGAAGTGAGGAGTTTGAGACCAGCCTGACCAACATGGTGAAACCTGCTGTACTAAAAATACAAAAATTATCTGGGTATGGTGACACATGTCTGTAATCCCAGCTACTCTGGAGGCTGAGGCAGGAGAATCACTTGAACCCAGGAGATGGAGGTTGCAGTGAGCTGAGATGGCACCACTACAGTCCAGCCTGGGTGATAGAGCAAGACTCCATTTAAAAAGAAAAAAAAGTATTTAAACAACAAGATTTAGACTGACTTATTTTTTGTTCCAATCTTATAAAAACGTTTGCAATATCCCACATTTTATTAATTAAATTGTGTATTTATTAATACAAATTGTGTTCTAACTCTCTGAGAGCAAATACAGTGACATCCTCTGCGTTATTTAGTACTCTCTGATCCAGTTCTCAAAGGATATAATACTCTCATAGACCATGATAACCTGAGGAAATTCTTTTAGGCTTTGTCTTTGTCAAGTAACATTTATGATTATTCCTGTCATCCTCACCCAACTCTATGAGAAAACAGTGACTATCACTTCTATTTTACAATGCAGAAAACTAATTATCAGGGAAGTTAAATAATATATCCATGATTGGATAGAGCAAATTACAAATATGATCATGTGTCCGCGCTTTGTGCCCGACATTGTGACAGAGTCTCCCTCATCCTTAACCTCAATTTTCTGAAGTCACAGAAATAAATATGATGCAAAAATTGAGAGTCTTCTTATTTCGTAAGAAAACAGACATGAAGGATTATCCTAATTGCACCCACTGGACCTGACCTGGACAATGTTTAAATTTGTCAGAAATTTTTGTTTGTTCCCTAACTGTTGCTTTGTCACTTCTGAAATCTTGTCTAGGACTGAAAGGTGTACCATACTCATGATGGCCCCATCACCAACCCCTACACCTCAAGAAAAGTAGTGACACTCTCTCTTTGACCAAACTCTAGTCAGGCTTCTCTGAGCCGTTTTCTCAAACTTTAGCCTATTAAAACTGCTGACTCAGCACAAATGATGTCTATCCCTGCCTTCATAGACTTAAACAAACGCTAGCATAGTTTCTAACTGAGCAAGGCCACGTCCCTAGGATGTGAACACCAGTAACCTAAAGAATCTACCTGGGAACAAAACCTGAAAATAGGGTCTCTGTCTTTCAATTTCTATGGAAGAGTAGGAAACTATCTTTGACAAGTGCCAGTTAGCAAATCCAGATGGCCTGGTCACACGTACTAACCTTCCTTCCTATTTCTTATGAATTTTCACTTCCTTGACTTTGCTCAAGTCCCACTCACCCACCCTCCCTACTCTTTTATTTTTCTTCTAAAAGTCCAAGTCATCTCTACACAAACCGAGATTGAGTCTAGTTCACACTAGGTTCTTTTTTATGTTGCAATAACTGGTACTGATTAAAAATCTGCACTTACCTCTTTAATGACCAGCTTTGTTTACTTCTGAGAGTAGAAGGAATGGTTCACTGTCTTTATTTATTCACCTCCTGACATACATCTGAATTTAAAAGTAAAGGACAGATTTTAACTCACAGAATAGGTGCCCAGTGTATAATTGGGAGCATAAAATATGGGCAAGTATTAAAAATATTTAAGTTAGTTCCTTAGGCATATCATATAGATACCACTTAGAGCTAGCTTTGTCCAGTGGTACAGGGTAATGCATTTGGTAATTCACGAAGAGAGGAATGTTTCTCTATCAAGAATGTCTCCATCCCAACCTAATGTCTTGCACTGTAAACTTGCTGCAAGATTCCTGCTTACTCCCTGTAACTGCAAACCACAAAGGTGAATTTTGCATATACAAATGCCATTCAGTGACATTAGCTGTCATCTGAGAAGTTTAGAGTTTATCCACTCTAACCTTTCACTTTGAGAAAAGATTTGATTGTTAACCATGTGAGTGTCTAATAAAAAACTTTGAAGCAAGTGTTAAACGTGGAATTTAAGATTAGATGACCTGGGTTCAAATTCAGGTTTTAGAACTTGACTTACTATATTAAGTCTCTTGGGCCAATCACTAGACCTCTTTAAATTACAGTTTTTCTATTTTCAATGTTTAGAGAATCATCATAATTATCTCATAGAATTATTACAAGAATGAAGTATGAAGAGGACATGAGAGACTGTACATAACCTAAGAAGCTTATATTGTTCATCCTTAGAAGGTGAATTAGCAAAATCATAACTTTCTGCTATATGGGAGAGTTTGACACTGTGGTAAAGAAGCTCCTGTCCTTGACTGTCTCTGGAGTCAGAATACCTGAACTCAACTCACAGAACACAGCATGCCACTTAGTTTCTGTGACAGTGTGTAAACCACCTGAACCCGCTGAGCTCAGTTTCTGCATCTGTAAAGATGGCTAATAATAATTTATCACAGAGATTACTGTGTTTATTAGATGAAATAATTAGGGGAACATTTAGAAAAATGCCTGGGATGTAGAAAGTATGTAGTAAATACTAGCTGATAATGATAATGATATGATGATGATGGTGATGATCATGATGAGGACAACAGCCCTTCCTCTTATTACCCTTAGGGAACTCTTTTCTTAGTCTTAAGTGTAATAATTGCTAGTTGCTCATTAGACAGCACTACACTTAAAATGCAATAGTTATGCCAAAATCAAAATTTCTTATAATGAGAAAAATATTTTAGGATTTTGCCAAATTTCATATTTGCATCACAGTTAACCTCATTAAGATGATATAATCGAGACAAGTAAATTCAATTAGGTATTTCTAATTGTGAACTTATTTAGAGCCATATAAAACATGTAGACTCAAAAACAAGAGAAAGAAAAAGAAAATGTAAACCACAAAGTCTCAGACTTACAGTCAGACCTAAACATCTGTGATTATAATAGTTTAGGATGCATTGTGCTTGACTTACTTCACTTTGTATGTACTGAGCTACAAAACCCTTACTACATTGAATAAGGGTAAATAATTAGATTTTACAAGATTGCATCTTTCTAAACTCTTATTATACTGCTTCTTCCTAGTGCAGAAATGTTCATTAGATCTGACATAAACTTCACTTTAGTAAACAGTAGATTTAGAAAAATAATGTTTAAAGTATTCAGTATTTTATAAATAGATGCAAAAAGTGTTTCAAATAATTAATCAAACAAAATTGGAATTGAATCCCTAAGTTACTCTTTTAAAAAAGAATTATAAAGTCTCAGAGGCAGAGAACACAGTAGAGATGTCTGTCAGAGGGACATGGGAATCATAATTGTTATCACTGATGATTTTATATCCCAGAATGATTAAATAGATATTAAGAGCTATGATAAATTACTACAGGCAGTACTTCCCAACGTAAATCATAGAAATGAATCCATGATTACTTCATTTCTACATATAGGACACATTTTATAATATTTAGAAATACTAAAATATTCCCTGGGGAAGAGCAGAAAGGTATTTTTTCCCAGTAGATAAGTGTGTTAGAGAAACTCCTTATCTGTACATTTTTCAATATGAAAGTTATCCAAAATATGAAGTTTCCCAAAATACGAAGTTTCTACATCTGTGAGGGGGTCTGATGAAAATCATCAAGAGAATTAGAAAGAGAGAGAGATTGAATCCTTTCTCCTATGTCTACCTCCTCTGGCCTAATCTAAGATTTTGAGTTGTCTGAAACACACTTACCACTGGGCTAACTAATACTAGGGAAGCGCAGACTCTCACCAACTTCAGCAGGTAATCATGTGACCATGTATACAATAAGAGATACATACATATATACCGACAAAAAGTCCCACAAACCAGTTTTTAACTGTTGTATCCCACTGAAGAATCATACTACTACGTTAACTATTCACCAAAATGCCCAAGACTCCTCCTCTATTGCATGCCCCCACATATTCTAAGTATGACTTATCCTAAAGTATCATCTTCCTTATATATTCTTTAATTGAATGCAGTCTCCCTGAAAATTAACTAAATATGTATGTGTTGCAAAGTTATATTTATTGAACTTCTGTTTATTTACAAACCTGCTTCCTCTCATGTTTGCTTGTGCACCCTCTTTCTCTCTCTCTCTCTCTCTCTGGCTCTCTCTCTTTCTCTCCCTTCCTCCCTCCCTCTTTCATTCTTTTATTAAATTTTATTTTGACAGGGTCTTATCATTGTCCTGTTGCCTAGCCTGGAGAACAGTGGCATAATTATAATTCACTGTAACCTTGACTTCCTGGGCTAATGCAATCCTCTTGCCTCAGTCTCCCAAGTAGCTAGGACTACAGGTGTGTGCCATCACACCCAGCTAAATTTCTAATTTTTTTGTAGAGACAGGGGTCTCCCGATATTGCTCAGGCTGGTCTTGAACTCTCCTGTTCAAGTTATCCTCCCACCTCAGCCTCCCAAAATGCTGGTATTACAGGCATGAGCCACCATGCCTGCCCTCTCATAGAGTCTTGAGACCTCCTGAAGTTGCTTATGTTATTTCCTTTACTAAAGTGTCCTTCCATAGTTCTGCTTTTACCTTCTGGCAAACTTCTCATATTTAACAAGTGAGTTCAAAACTTCCATTTCTGACTAAAACCTTTGTAATACCACTTTCTTTTATTTTTGGCAGAATATATTACTATTTCTTTCCAACCTCACACACATTATCCATGAGCACATTATAGCAATGTGTGTTACACTGCAATTTACATACATAGCTGTCTTTCCCACTAGATTTTGAATACTTAGCTTTCTAGAATGTTGCTTAACATATAGAATTTATACATGTTTGTTAAAAATATAAAGAAATGATCTGCAGGAAATAATTATAATTTAGAAAACCTTATTCAAGGTTAGTAGAAAGCTGAATAGACATGAGAAATTGTAGTTGCTATCTGTTTTACTTGAATCATATCAATTATAAGAATGAGATAAAAAGCAATATTGATGAGGTTCATATTTTGAACTTTATCCCTCAGAAATAGTTTCATTATGCTCCTTGGCCACAAGTTGTATCCTATACATTGACATTTCACAAATGAGAATCAATGATTAAAGAAAGGTAAAAAGCACTTTGATCATTCAGTCTACTAAAATTCATTAGCCATGCATTGTTAAACATTCCTTTCTCCCTATAAACTGATTGTTAAATATTGGCAAATAGTCAGAGTCAGAAATAAAACTACAACTCATTAAACTAATTCTATAGATGAAGAAAATGAGACTCAGAGAGATTAAAAGATTTGTCTGCACAACACTTGAGTGACAGCTTGAAGTGGTACCCACCTTTGTCTGCCTCTTAATATCCTGCTACTTCCATAATATCACGCATTATTATAGCTCTGGTCTGCATATCTAGATCTTATCCTATGAAGAGACAAAATATTATTTATTTATTTATTTATCTCCCCAATCCCTTGAAGAGACAAAATCTTATAGAAAAAAATATTGTTACATCTTGAGTTGATTTTTATATAAGGTGAAAGATGAAGATCCAGTTCCATTCTTCTGCATGTGCTTTGCCAATTATCCCAGCACCATTTGTTAAATAGGGTATCTTTTCCCCACTTTGTTTTTGTTTGTTTTGTCAAACATGAGTTGGCTCAATTTGGCTTTATTTCTGGGTTCTCTATTTTGCTTCCTTTGTCTACGTGGACAAAGAATGATACATTGGACTTTGGGGAGTCAGGGAGAAGGGTAGGGAGTGGTTAGAAATGAAAGACTGCACGTTGGGTACAATGTACATTGCTTGGGTTATGGATGGACCCAAATCTCAGAATCACTACTAAATAACTTATTCATGTAACCAAACACCACCTGTTCCATCAAAAATCCATTAAAATAAAAAAATAATATATTTTTTAAAAGTATTGTTACTGTGTACACATGGCATTCATCAACTTTATTTTCATGAATTTTAATACAAATGAACACCCTAAAAATCCACTAAATTCAAAAAATCCTTTGTGATTCACTCTAGTACAGCATTGAATAACATAAAACAATGCTTCTGAACAAGGCCAACAACAGTTCCCAAAAAATAGTGCTTTCTCCTCAGCTTTCTTCCATTCATCAATGAGTACATAGTCACAAAAGCAAAAAAATAATTTTTGTGTGTATGAAAATTGGCCATGGAAAATTATAAAAGCTAAAATCTAACTGTTTACATTGATTTGAAGAAAAGAGAATATAAGAGGTCTTTGGTTCTTAGGAAATAAAAGGTTTAGATAAAAATCAAGATTGGATTGCCAAATGCAGGATTGATCTATAATCTGAACAATATGCCATATACTGTATATTGAAATAAGAAAAAAATATGTTAAACAGTTTCAATGAGCGTCCTTGAGGCAATGTAAAAGCTTCCAAAAAGTGAGAAATAAATTATAGGTGAAAGTTAAAAAGACAGCTAACTTTTAGTTTGAACATATGGCATCAGATATGTAACTTTTGGTGGAATTATACTTCAGAGAAAATTCACAAGCCTTTGAAGCTATTTCTGCATTTATAGTTATGGGAATTCCTTAAGTTTTCATATGCATGCCTTATGAATAACAAGTATGTATGCACTCTCTCTAGATATATGCAAATGTAAGGATATACAAGAAAATTAGGAATGTGCTTCATGAAATAATTTTGTAGATTATTTAATCCTTTGTGAATTATTTAAGGAAGCTGTGTACTTAATACTTTGTGGAATACTCAATAAGATTTCATGATTAGTATATTTTCATCCTTACATTCATTAAGTACATCTTATCAAATTTCTGTTATTTAACAAGAATTGCAGTAGGTCCCAAGATAAAGCATAAATCAATGACTAGCCTTACCCATATAACACTTTCTGGAAAGCATATCACATTTGTCATAATTTGTCTAGCACCTATATTCCTCACTGTTTGTTATTAAGCTGGAGTGCTAAAGTCAAGTATCTCTCTCTTTTCTCTATATATGTATTATACAGTGCATTTCACCAATCTTACTTACTATCAGCATGAATAAAAAGCATCTCTCTGCACCTCTCCTGAAATAATCTTGAACAATTTCTCAGACTTAGAACATACTCAACAAATGCTTTGAATTTGTGATTAATATACTATAAATACTTTGGAACTTGTACTTTATCAACCCCTCAAGTTTTCATTCTTCTCTCAGTTTTTCATTGATGAGCATTTGGTTTCAAGTCAGATTTAAACATGATGTATAAGTAATCTCATGGATAACATAGACAACTACCTTGCTGCATGGTGTGATTGAGTTAGAGTCAGTACATAAGAATGACCAGACTGATGATTGAGAGACTTCTCCAAGGTGCTGGTAGCATGGAGCTAGTCCCTATGAAAGACCTGCTGGACAACAAAGGAACTTGCTGGAAGGTGCAAAAAATCCTTAGCTAGACTTTAATGACACATTAGGAGGTCTCCCACTTGCTATTCTGTTGGCAGTCATGCCTAAAGCAGCAAAATCAAGCCAGGAAGAAAGACTATTTCTCTTGCTATGTCCTTGCAGCTCCTCCATTGCCCTCTTGGAAAAGCTAAACATCAAGTCATCATGTAAAAAAGGAATGTCTACAATGTCAAAATACAATATTATAAGACAAAGCAAAGGAGTGTAGATTTGTACTTGAGAGCAAATATAGTTACAACTGGCATAGGACATATTTTGAACAGACTTAGATATCTCTCTTCCAGTGTCAGTGAGGAAACATATGAACAAAGCAACCATCTTTACTTCCCCAACTAGTTGTGCTTGATAGTGCTTCCATTGATGTTTTTATATTATGTATGCAAATTTGAGCTCTAAAATCTTTACCTGTCAGTACTGATGAAATATTCAGGTCCTTTGTCAGTAAATGAATTTGGATTCACCACAGTGACATGCAACACATTTTGTTTTCCATTAAAAAGTGGGGAGGCAGAAGCTTTTTGTTTTTCCATCAGTTTCGGATAACTCTGACCATAGTTCAACAACTCTTTAGGTGACAAATATATGAGATGCTATGTTGTAAAGCGTATTCTTTAATTTGAAGCCCTCAGTTATATTAGAAAAATTTCCAATGCCATTATTCACATGACTTCTTCCTCTCATGCTTCTCTAAATGTAAGGCAAAACATTATATAGCATTTGTACCTGTAATGCCACATTCTTCTGAATTTTCTGAACTACATACAGGATGGAAAAAATAAGAGTTATCTAGAAAGATTATAAGAAACTCAAGAACAACTGATATATTAAACCTATTCTTATATTCCCCATTGTGTCAAACAATACTGGTAACTGTGGAAACACCCAGCTAATTCTGACAATTAGGAATTTTTCTATAAGCTTTTATTGAGCCAATTAACATTATAATTATTCTTTATAAATTATTTACTAAGTAACAATTTGTACCCTGAAACTCCAACACAGATTTATAAAATTCTGGTTTTCTAGGTCATTAAAAAAAACATTTGTTTGATTATCTGATTAATATGTTGTGTTGCCTGGAATACTATGTTAAAAAGGATTCCAAAGTCATTCTTATCCTTAGAAGCAAAGAGAATTGGGAGAGGTTAATGATGTCATCAATGGACATAGGGAAAGAATATGTGTTACTTGTGCATCAGTTATTTCATGTCAATTCACTTCAGTTTTATATGAGGCAAAGAAAGTTTCTGAACAGACTATTATCTAATTAGAATAATATTTTTAATTTTAGTATGTTTCCAAAATGTACTCTTGGCATCAATGTTCTGGACCTGAATTTTTATATCAATGAAAAAGAATGTTTATCTAAATAAACTAAAATTAAATCAGATGAACATGCAAACTAGCTAGAGTTACAGAACATTCTTTATTATACTCCGTTTGACCTGTGTTCACCACGTATTATTTTCAAATCTTGACAATATGGAAGAACATATAAAAACTAAGGTTGTATCTCCCCATAGTGAGCACACATAGTTGACAATAAAAACACTTAATTTGAAAATCTTTTGTCTGCATGAATTGATTTTATTAATATTTAACTATTCCAACACCAATAGCTAGTAAAGAGTATCTATTGTGTAGTCAGAAAGACAGTTCAAATGTCAGTTTTACTGTTTCTTAATAACATGGCCTTTGGCACATTAATTAACTTTTCTCAGCTTCAATTTTCTCTGGTGTAAAGTATAGATAATGAGAACGTAGGAAATTGGGAAACGGTGAGGATTAAAAGAATTAATATGTGTATATATACCTATTTCCTTTGTACTAAAAAAATTAGGTTCCCTGATTATTGTATACATACTCCCAATGCTATCTACCTGAATAACCTGATTGTTTTCTCTCTGCATTTTAGATATGCAGTTCTTTTTTGCCAGGAAGCTTTTGTACTATTTTTGTTGCCTGGTTCATTTCTTTTTGCTCTTGGTGCTCAGTTCAAACATCTCTTCCTCCAAGAAAACCTCCTATGACTCTTGGGCTTATTAACATATTCTCACTCCCATAGCATGCTGCACCTACTTCTGTTTACTCATTAGTTGCTAATGTATCTTTTTTAGCAATCACCCAACTATTTGTAGTTATCCACATCTTACTGTAATTTGTCCTCAGTGCCAACTACAGGGACTACTTTTTAACACATACTGCCTCTAATATTGTTTTCAATTGTACTTCAAAATGCATACTCACACACACACACACACACACACACACACACACACACATATGAAGTCATTGAATTCTATTCCACTGAGAGATAAGAGAAGCTGGAATACATGTAACCTGGAAGCTAACCTTGATTCTCTTTGCTTCTGCTCCTTTACTGCCATCTTCTGACAAGATCTATGTTTGCTGCTGGATCATTTGTCACTTCTCTGAGGCTCTTCTCTTTATGGGCTATCTAGACATCACCATGGAATTTGAACCAAGGCTGCTAAAGCTGTCGTTGTTGAAGAAGATATGCTTTACTTTCATATGAAATTCAGTGCTTCCTCTGATTCGTTTTCTTGATGGGAAAGGCTAGGCAATTATCAAAATCTGTTCTAGGAGTATTGCATCAGAATCAAAACTATTAAAATAAAAATATAGCACATTATTCAACGCAGTAGTTCTATACTTGGTGATTACTTTTTAGGTGTTGTCTTAAGAATCAAGAGACACAGACTATAGTCAATGTGAACTTGAAAAAGTCACTAGGTCTCATTTGTAAAATGATAAGATTGAGAGTGATTGTCTTTGATGTCTTTTAGAGGCATCAACCTTTTTGCATCTTTTTAATTTACAGGAGACTTCATTCTCACTCACCTAGCCTAGTGCATATGCCAAAACTTTTACCTTATAAAAATACACATTGATATCAAAGCATGTTCACATGACTAATCTCACACATAGTTTTAACTATCGTG